TACACGTGAATAACTCCACTACACACGTGAATAATTCCCTACACACTTGAATAACTCCACTACACACGTGAATAACTTCCTACACAAGCCAAGGGTCAAAGGCTAGCCAAGTCTTTTGTGAAATTCCTCAGCGTGGGGCAACCTGATCCTCATTTGCATACTATGAGAAGTATTGGTTCAGGCTGGGTGATACTGTATTCTTGGATGTAGGTAGGCATAGGGAGAGAGAGAGAAGGGGAGGGAGAGAGAAAGAGGGAGGGTTGGAGGAGACCGAGTGATATTGTATTTTGAGGGTAGGTAAACGTAGAGAAAGGGAGAGAAAGGGGTCAAATGAGAGGTAATGTTAGGTCGAGAGTGAGACAGAGAGAGAGAGAGAGAGAGAGAGAGAGTTTCCGTGTGTGTGTGTGTGAGAGATAGAGAGAGCGAGAGAGATGAGGCTGTGGAAGTGTGATGACGTAAAGAGAAAGTGGCAAAAGAGAAAGGCGACAGAGAGGAAAGGTCAAAGGTGAAAGAGAAAAAAAATGTGATGAATACCGAAAACAAGATAAACAAGATGAAAAGAGCTTATGGAAGGTCAAGTCATCACGGTTGCATAAAATGTCGTCAAAAGTTCGATCGTTTGTGTGTGAGAGAGAGAGAGAGAGAGAGAGAGAGAGAGAGAGAGAGAGAGAGAGAGAGTGTGTGTGTGTGTATGTCGAGTGTTGGGTTTGTTTACGGTGTGAGTGCTGCCCTCTTGTGGTGTGAATGTCGTGTACTGTACCGTGTAGATGTAGAGGGCGCTTGAGTCCATAAGAGGCCACTAAAATCTCTCGTATTTCTAAAAAAAACTCAAACTTTCAAACCACTTGATTGGGTAGAAATCTTTTTAATTAGCGAGTTAAACCATGATTCAATATTTTTCCGGCATTACCAAAGGAGTAAGACACCCTAGTTTTTTTTTTCCACCTGACGATCAAGCACCCTGACCCCCTTCCCCCCCTAACTCCTTACCCCACACACAGGTATTAGTTGGATATCTAACAGACAAAATGGCGTCCCTAATATCTATGTTATATTTACCTGTATATAGTATATTAATCTCCTTATAGTCAATAGTATCAACTAACATTAACTAAGATCATATAAACTAACACGGGGATACGAATCCTTCATTACCAGGTTAAAGTTTAATTGCCTCTAACTACTGAACCTCACGTGTACATTTTAACATAAAAAAAAAGAAGATTATTTGACTATCCTGGGGAAAAAAAATTCTGAGAGAGAGAGAGAGAGAGAGAGAGAGAGAGAGAGAGTTAGTTAGTTTTGAGCCAGGTTAACCAAGAGTGTGTAGTTTACCTGGATGGAGATATGTCACTCACCCGCTGACACTGTGAGTGGGAATACTGTAATAACTGACGCATTTACCTGTCATGTATATAGGTAGGTTATGTGTGTGTGTGGTATAGGTAGGTTATGTGTGTGTGTGGTAGTTAGGGTGGTGGTAGTTAGAGGGAGTGATAGTAGTGGTGGGGGTAGTGTCCAATCCTCAGGTGAACCAACGTCACTTCTAGTCCTCATGAGGTAACTGCTCTCCAACTAGCCATTAGCTCTAAGTGGTCATTAGCAGACAGTGATAGTGGTACGTGTGACTTGTTCGCCGTCATGGTGTCGTATTGAGTGTTATTGTTATGACTTGCACTTTACTCTAAATTAATTAAAGTGAAACTATCACACCTGTTTAATACAAGTTGGTGTCATGGCGAGAGGTTTTGGGGGCAATGTTTGGAAAATATACGTGAATATTAAATCTTCATGAGGTCCAACTATACTTAACCCAACTTAACCTAACCCGACCTAAATATGCTTTACTCAGGAGTTTGGTGTGTAGTGGTAGTGGACAGTACTACACTACTACAGTAACTATGAAGCAGTGTAACATGTCATAATAACTCGGCAGTAACGACAGTGTCTCTCCCCGACAGTACCGGTAGTGTCAGTGACGAGGGTGGAGGGGGAGTCGGCGGCACTGCCCTGTGACGTGTCTCATCCCCCTCACGACGCCATCTACCTCCTGCTGTGGTTTAAAGAGCCCCTCACTACACCCATCTACAGGTAGGTCCCCCTCACTACACCCATCTACAGGTAGGTCCCCCTCACTACACCCATCTACAGGTAGGTCCCCCTCACTACACCCATCTACAGGTAGGTCCCCCTCACTACACCCATCTACAGGTAGGTCCCCCTCACTACACCCATCTACAGGTAGGTCCCCTCACTACCCATCTACAGGTTGGTCTCCTCACTACACCCCATCTACAGGGTGGTCCCCTCACTACACCCCATCCTACAGGTAGGTCCCCTCCACTACACCCATCTACAGGTTGGTCTCCCTCCTTTCACACCCACATCTGCAGGTAGGTCCCCTCACTACACCCATCTACAGGTAGGTCTCCTCACCACCCATCTACAGGTAGGTCCCCTCACTACACACCCCATCTACAGGTAGGTCCCCCTCACACTACACCCATCTACAGGTTGGTCTCCTCCCCTCCACCCATCTCTACAGGTGATTACACCCCCTCACTACACCCATCTACAGGATTGTGGTCTCCTCACTACACCCATCTACAGGTAGGTCCCTCACTACACCCATCTACAGGTAGGTCCCCCTCACTACACCCATCTACAGGTTGGTCTCCCTCACTACACCCATCTACAGGTAGGTCTCCCTCACTACACCCATCTACAGGTAGGTCCCCCTCACTACACCATCTACAGGTAGGTCTCCTTCATCACTTAAAAAAACTATATTCCCGTAACTTATCTATACAAAACATTACATATATAACCCATTATTAGGACCAGATTATAATAACCTTGGATATACAGTATTATATATTTATAGGTGTGTTTTAGTACTGTAGGTATTTTTATAACATGGTGGCTGTACAGGGCCTAATAGTTACCCGCCTCTTGCCTGCACCTGTCAGCCATTACTGTTATGGCGTTTATTATGTCCTGTTACAGTTCATGACTCATTCAGCGACTCACTCAGCGACTCATACAACGATTTATTCAATGACTGACTCAGCGACTCAGAGTTAAGAGGTCCCACAGATGCTTACGTCAATATTTCCTCCACCACCCATCACCCCCTACCACCCACCACCACCACCCCCTACCACCCCCTACCACCACCCCCTACCACCACCCCCCTACCACCACCTACCACCACCAATTAGCTCAAAAACTCAATTTAGTGTTAGTTAGGTACTCTTGTGTTGGCAGGTTAGAAGAGTGGTGGTAGGGCCGGATGATAGTGTTGGTAGTGCCCTAACATCCCTAATCTTGTGTTGGCAGGTTAGATGAACGATCGGAAGCAGAGAGCCGGTGGTGGGACGAAAACCAGCTGGGCCAGAGAGCTCTCCTGGAGGTGTTGTCGTCGCAGGCAGTACTGAGAGTGTCCGCCCTCACCCTCCACGACCACGGCCTCTATACCTGTCGTGTAGACTTCAGGAATCACCCCACCAAGACGACCAGAGTCAACCTCACTGTTGTTGGTAGGTCTCTCTCTCTCTCTCTCTCTCTCTCTCAGGTGTGCAACGTAAAAATTAATCATCCTCATCATTAATATTAGTAAATCATAATAGTGCTGCCTCATTAGACTGTATATATACTAATTATATTTCGCTGGTACAAAAAATAAGGTTTATGAGTTTTCTAATCAAACTTGTCTATCACTCTTATAATAAATATTTAATATAAAGCTCTTCAATATTATGATTTATCTTCCTTGAGTATGATGATTTAACCCTTTGAGTATGATGAGTTAGCCCCATGTGTATGATGACTTAATTTATTGAGTATAGTGATTTAACTCCTCGAGTATGATGACTTAATCCTTTGAGTATTATGGTTTAACCCTTGAATGCAATATCTTAATCGTACTCAAGGGCTTCACTCATCATACTCAAGGGCTTCACTCATCATACTCAAGGGGATCATACATCACACACACGTAAACGGGCTTAACATGCAGTGATTGGCTATCGTCCACGTTGATATCTTCTAATTGGTCCTTATCCATCAGCTAGGCATCGACTGATTGGTCATCGCCAACAATAACACCAGTTGATTGGTTCCTGGCCACAATGACGTCACCACCCCTAAACACCAACCACAAACAGACATAACAAAATGCAACACCATAAGAAGCAAAAGGTGGTGAACGTTCGCCAGGCGTTGATGATTGTTCGAGCTGGCGCAGTTCTTATGGCAGTGGTTTGTAGGAACTGTCCAAGGGCGTGGACAGTAACCCCGAATACCTCAGCTAGTGTGTGTGCTGTACCTAGGCAGACAGACAGACAGAATGAGAGACAGACAGAATGAGAGACAGACAGACATACAGACCGAAAATGAGAGATAAACAGGCACAAAGGCAGACAGTGAAATAGACAGAAAGATAGACAAACACAGAGACAAAGTGAGAGAGAGAGAGAGAGAGAGAGAGAGAGAGAGAGAGACCAAAGGCTATATCAACAAACAGTGTAGTTGAGAAGGTGGCCACTAGAGGTCTCCCTTGGGCTGCACCATACACAAGGTTATGAGCTGTATGAAAACTTGACACGGTGACAACTACTGTACCCCCACACACACACACACACACGAGATATCATGTAAAAAGGCGGAAGGAAAATGCCAAGAATTTTTTTATAGCTTAAGTTCTTGTGTGTGTTTCCTTCAACTAGTATTATTGTGTGTGTTCATTTAATCTTACGTGTTCTCATTTTAATATACAGCTTTTATACCAGGTGTGTGTGTGTGTGTGTGTGTGTGTGTGTGTGTGTGTGTGTGTGTGTGTGTGTGTGTGTGTGTGTGTGTGTGTGTGTGTGTGTGTGTGTGTGTGTGTGTGTGTGTGTGTGTGTGTGTGTGTGTGTGTGTGTGTGTGTGTGGTGTGGACCTGAACACACACGCACACATACTAACTTCACCTTTTTCCCCCCACAGTTCCCCCAGAGCGGATGAGTGTGGTGGTGGGTGACACAGTATCTCAGGAGCGGGTGAGTGTGGTGGTGGGTGAGGTGTACAGCAACAGGGGCTCAGTCAGTAGTGTGGTTGGACCTTACCTGGAGGGTGACGTCATCCAACTCACCTGTGTCGCCCATGGTGGTACGTCTTACCTGTCTACCTGTTACATGATTAGTATGCTACAAAAGAATCTCTTACATATAACCTAACCTAACCTAACCTAACCTAACCTTGAGGTAAATCTATTGGTGTAATAGTTATAATGTCTAAACAAACAATCTGTTGTTTTTTGTTTCGTAATTCATTCTTCCCTTTATATAATTAGTAAGTCCAGTATTAGCATGTCCGGTATTAACATGTCCGGTATTAACATGTCCGGTATTAGTATGTCCGCTATTAGTATGTCTTCTATATGTATGTCGTGTGTGTGTGTGTGTGCGTGTGCGTGTGCATGTGTGTGTGTGTGTGTGTGTTTTATCGTCTGACCAATATCGGCCTAACTTGATGCCATGACGTTAGCCCACCCGAAGGAAGAGCCGGGATGTTTCTGGTGTAAAAATATGCAAATTAGTCAACTGTTGTATATTTTTCATTCACACGGGCGACTCATCTATATTAGACCATGAATATAGATCAACTTGTTAAATTTCCATCAATTTCACTTACAATCTTCATTACCATTATCTACTTCATTGAATAAACTTTGTATCTAATCTCTTCATTCATTCATTCACAGAGAGAGAGAGAGAGAGAGAGAGACCCCAAACTTCATATATCAATCAATTAAAAAAAAAAATCTTACCTAGAAAAAGACCCGCATCATCCTCTTCTTACCATCCCACCTCCTCCTCCTCCTCTTCCTCTTACTCTTCCTTCTCCTCCTTCTTCTCCTCCTCCTCCTCCTCCTCCTCCTGGTCCCATCGTCTTCAACTCTGACAATAACAAGGCAGAATACACTTGGAAATTTAACAAGAATCACATTTCACTATTGGTGGATCAGCTGGTCTTGAGAGGATAGATCCGTCAACACTAGGAGAATGTCTATGAATATTCACCTGATTACCTGGACGTGATTATCTTCCATTATTCCTAAAGGTGTAACTAGAGGTGCTTCACATTGTACAGGGCGTCTTAGAGGTCACGAATCATAGCAAAATTAAGGATCTTCGCTTTTATTGTTTTTTTTTTTTGCCTTTTTTGCCCCTTTTTCAGGTATTTCTTATCATTATACAGCTTCTCGTTATCGTAGTGGTGTATTTGATAACGTGTTTCTTCTTCCTTGCATAATGGTTAAGAATTCTTGTGTGTATTTGGGATATATACGATAAGGAACAGATGCGCGCCTTTGTAAACACTCTCTCGAAAGTGTATTGAGTGAGGTGGAATTGTTTATTTTTTAAAGACTTTGTAAATCATTATCTATCTTTTTAAATTTATATATGTTGTATTTTTAACTCTTAACTTTACTTTATTTCAGTTAATGTTAATATAATTTTTTACTTCATTTACTTCAATAGGACGAGTTTTTATAGCAATTTACATAAACAAGGTTACGATACACTATGTTGATTTCCTCCATCAATATTCCTCCTCTTAGCAGCTTTCAATATCTCTCTAGTATCATTGGTGTTGCTTCACATTCTCCTACACTACCATAAACTTGATCAGGTGAAGATGGTGAGGCAGTTCTCCGGCCATAAACTCACTCCCAAACATCTCACACAATTTCCTCTCGTGATGATCGTTGGTTCCTATGTAAAGTTTTATCTGTGACTGGCAGGGAGAACGCCGCCTCCAGCCTCCTCTTACCTCTCGAGTGAAGGATATATTACGTCATGTGGTTGAACATATAGTAACTTGTATTCGATGATAATCCACGTGATTAGTTAACTATATGGGGATTACCTGATGATTAGGCCCCCAGTTTCTTTTACTTGATTATTAAATTTACTAACCTAACCTAAGCTAACCTAACCTAACCTTATTTTAACATCATGCACTACACGTTCCGCTACAGGCAGTCCCCGACCGTCGGTGGTGTGGTACGGAGACTCTCGCCTGCTGGACACTCACATGGAATCAGATGTTTTAGAAGCCACGAGTGAAACCCTTGGTGCAGTGACGGTGACAACGCTCGGCCCGGGGCCCACCACAACACAGCCAGCTTTCGGAGGAGAGCCGTTCAATACGCTTACTCTGGGGCCCCTCAGTCGCAGCCACCTCAAGCTGCTGTTGACGTGTGAGGCCTCCAACAACAACCTCACACAGCCCACCACACTCAGCCTCACCATTGACATGAACTGTGAGTCATTCTGATTCCCTTGTCAAAAATTTCAAAATCAGAATCAAATAATTCACTCAGTAAATACCAATAGTGTCTCAGGTGTACACGACAGCTAAACCTTAGCTACAACTTCATGACGGAACAATAAACTGTTTCTTCTCTCTTAATAGACTTACCTGTATGAATATTTTAGAGCAGGAGTTGAGGACACAGGTGAGATGAAAGCTTACTGCGGCAGTATCAGCTTACTTTTCTGATCAAGGATGTTAGTGTAGTCAGGGTAACAGGATTAAGCTGAGTGGTGGTGAAGGCAGTAGGATCAAGCTGAAGTGTAGAGGAGGCAGCTGGATTATGCTGAAGGGTAGTGAAGGAAGTCGTGGGGAGGGGAGGTGGTCGTGGGGAGGGGGGGTCGTGGGGAGAGGGGTGGTCGTGGGGAGGGGAGTGGCCGTTGGGAGGGGAGTGGTCGTAGTCTTAGGGATGAGGTAGTCGTAGGAGTGGAGTCGTGTCCCCCTCTATGGTGTGCGTGAAGGGAGTCAGGGAGGCGAAAACTTCCATCCCCCTCCCAAAGTGTGTTGGTAGAGAGGAGGAGGGAGTCAGTGGAGGGAGAGATGTAAGGAAGGGTGGAGGGAGAGAAGGAAAGGAGGAGGGAGGCAATAGAGAGAAACTGAAAGAGGGAGACGGAATCATTGGAGAAGGGGGGAAGGAAGGAAGGCAGGAGGGAGAAAGGTAGGCAATGAAACGGGGGGGAGGGAGGGAGGAAGACACTGAAGAGAAAGAAGGATGGGAAGAGAGGGAGGGAGGAAGGAAGGAAGGAGGGAGGGAGGGTCTAGTTCTCCTTCTCAATTTGGCATATTCGTTACCAAGACGTAAAAATCCAGGTAATATTAATCTACAACTTTATATATCGTATTTTAGTTATCATACTTACACAACATTCTTTTATCAATACAAAATAATAATGAACGTACAGTCGGGGTTAAGAAATCATGATACAGTTATTATTAATCCCGATTTTACATTATCATTCTCACCATTCTTACATAATATTCTCATACCAATACAAAATAATAATATGTATTTCATTCTAGTAACATTAATATTTATTATGGTTTGAGTTTTTTCTAACCTTTTAACTTATCCCAAAAAAAAAAAAAACCACTTTCTATTAAACGTCATTGTGATGTGTCATTTGTTTCCTCTTCCCCCCACGGACCGGAAAGTTGAGAGGCTATACTGAAGAAGCTGTATGTCTGTGTCTGTCTGTCTGTGGGGTCAATTAGTTTACATCCAATATGTTCTATAAAGTTGTATCGTACGCATCACCATCAGGGAATTTTTGATGTTGTTTATACACTTTTCATTAACACTGTTTTGTTTTTTTTGTTTTTTTATGGCTGTTCATTGGCTGACCCGACGTCTCTCCATGAAACATTTTAACCAATAAGACTTGAACCCACTGTTTATCTATTTTTTTCATTGGCTGCCCCTGCTTCGCTCCCTGACACATTTTAACCAATAAGATTCTAGCTCAATATTTATCTGGCCGTTCATTGGCTGCCTCGGGTCGCTTCATGACACCTTATAACCAATAAAATTCGTGTTTATTGTTGTTTCATTCTTGGAAGTGCTAAGTGTTACACCTCTGCATGAACCAGGTCAGGTCAGGTTAGGTTAAGGCGTCCTCACTGACTCACCCCTGACTCTTCCCCCCCACCAGTGCCGCCCCTGAGTGTAGAGACCCAGCGCCCTGATTCACTGACTCACCCCTGACTCTCCCCCTTACCAGTGCCGCCCCTGAGTGTAGAGACCCAGCGCCCTGATTCACTGACTCACCCCTGACTCTCCCCCTTACCAGTGCCGCCCCTGAGTGTAGAGATCCAGCGGCCTGAGTCAGTGGCGCTGAGGGCTGAACGTGAGTACTTGGTGGAGTGTGTGGTGGTGGGAGCTCGACCCCCGCCCGCCATCACCTGGTGGAGCGGCCACCAACGAGTCCTGCAAGCCACGGTCACGGTGAGTCACTGTGAGTCTGTCCTGTTATGGTGAGTCACTGTGAGTCTGTCCTGTTATGGTGAGTCACTATTATACCAGTTTTCCCTCGACATCATCAGTTCTCTCTTTCTCTCTCTCTCTCACCACTTCTCTCACCTATATCTCTCACCACTTCTCTCACCACTTCTCTCACCGCCAGATCTCAGAGGACAGGAATCTCACCAGCAGTAGTGTGGTGATCGTCCCTGGGCCACGGGACAATGGTTCGTTCCTTCGGTGTATCGCAGAGACCCACGCTGCCCCAGCCACCCTGGAGGACACCTGGACCCTCACCGTGCACTGTATGTATCCTTCACTGTATGTATCCTTCACTGTATGTATCCTTCACTGTATGTATCCTCCACTGTATGTATCCTTCACTGTGCACTGTGGGTATCCTTCACATCCTTCACCGTGCACTGTATGTAGCCTTCATTACACACTCAAATCACCACACATCCCCACTCACATCACCACACCCCACTCACATCACCACACACCTCACATCCCACCCCACTCACATCACCACACCCCACTCACATCACCACACACCTCACATCCCACCCCACTCACATCACCACACCCCACTCACATCCCACTCGCACCTTCAACTTTTCCTTGTGTTTTGGTGAGTAGGAATTGTTAATGATTGATTTTTATTGTAAAGGAGAGAAATATACTTATTACTGGATAGGAGATCTGAGGCGTTTTGTTAGGTTAGGTTAGCTTTGTTAGGTTAGCTTTGTTAGGTTAGCTTTGATAGGTCAGGTTATGCGAAAATTAACGATGTATCAGACCACACTGACCCAGAGGTAAACAATACTGGGAGTTTAATTTCCTGTTGTCTCTCTCTGTCTGTTTTTATTCTCTCTCTCTCTCTCTCTCTCTCTCTCTCTCTCTCCATTGAGGTCCACGTCCTCCTGTATCTCTCACTCCTCCTCGTCTCCCACACAGATGTGCCCACGTCCTCGTGCAGGTTCGGGTCGTCACTGGACGCTGCCAACATCAAGGAGGGAGACGACGTGTACCTGGAGTGTTCTACCCAGGCCAACCCCCGTGTGACGCACGTCTCCTGGCGTCACAACGTGAGTGTGTCTTTTACTATAGTGTGACGCACGTCTCCTGGCACGTCTCCTGGCTTCACGAGGTGAGTGTGTCTTTTACTATAGTGTGACGCACGTCTCCTGGCGTCACGAGGTGAGTGTGTTTAACACAGGTAGTACTAACAGTAGTATACAGGTAGTACTAACACAGGTGCAGTAACTAACAGTAGTATACAGGTAGTACTAACACAGGTGTAGAAACTAACAGTAGTGTACAGGTATTACTAACACAGGTGCAGTAACTAACAGTAGTGTACAGGTAGTACTAACACAGGTGTAGTAACTAACAGCAGTGTACAGGTAGTACTAACACAGGTGCAGTAACTAACAGTAGTGTACAGGTAGTACTAACACAGGTGCAGTAACTAACAGTAGTGTACAGGTAGTACTAACACAGCTGCAGTAACTAACATTAGTGTACAGGTAGTACTAACACAGGTGCAGTAACTAACAGTAGTGTACAGGTAGTACTAACACAGGTGCAGTAACTAACAGTAGTGTACAGGTATTACTAACACAGCTGCAGTAACTAACTGGTGGGTGTGTCGGGCAGGAGGCGCCGCTGGTTCACAACGTGACCGCTGGGGTGATCATCAGTAACCAGAGTCTGGTGCTGCAGCGGCTGGTGAGGGCCCAGGCGGGGCGCTACTCCTGCCTCGCTCACAACCCCGTCGGTGATGGCCTCTCTAACTCCCTCAGACTCGACGTTAAGTGTAAGTACCAGACATACATACAGACAGAGAGACAGACAGACAGTGAGTTTGATATGTTAATCTATGAAATATTACCACCGCGTCTGTTCTTCAGTCACAACTTTGATGTCCTGTACAAACCTGATCAAAGATGGTGGTTCTTTGAGCGAGTGTGTGTGTTCTGTACAGTACGTGGGTATGTTTGTAAGGTTTGATTTTTTTATTTTGCCGCTTATAGCGGCTACTTTATTGTGCACCCCATACTCATCCTGTGAGCGGAAGCGCAAAAGGATTACAGAGTAGAGTTTACAAAGGGTCATAATAATTAACCCCCGTTGTCAGGATATTATGGCACTGAAAGTTACACAGTATTTCATTTACATTATTTGTTTAGTTCTATACATAAAGGGTAACTTATTCATAAATGCGTGAGAACAGGCGTGTGAGGCAGTATGTCTGGCCTCACACTTTGTTATTCACATTTACGTGGGAGGTATTCAAGCACATTGCGTATTTGGTTCTGTACATGAGAATTGATATAGTTACTAAGTGCAAAAAAGTGGATACAATCTTAATATGTCGGCTATCTTGCCATTAGAGATGAAGTGTTGTGCCATTTCACACACAGTGTGCTTGGACCTGTCCCTAAAAGGTTCTATTTTCACACAGTCGAGGACGTAGTGTATGGGTGTTTGAATGTTGCGTGTATTGATGAGTTTGTTATGGTGGCAGCAGAGGTAAACATAACAGCAGTACACACACCTGGTTCTAACAACACAAAGTTTACATAAGATCCCTCTTGTTGTTCCTCAGTCGCCCCCGTGTGCTCCTTGGGGCAGGTCACTATATACGCTGTGGATCGCTACGAGGACGCCGAGGTGACCTGCTCCGTGGACGCCAACCCCGTGCAGGAGTCCTTCCAGTGGACGTTCAACAACACGGCGGACACCATTGACGTACCCCAGGGCCGCTTCACCTCCCTCAGCACCCACAGTGTCATCACCTACACCCCCATGACCGCCCTGGACTACGGCACCCTCCTCTGCTGGGCCAACAACGAGATCGGCCCTCAGAAGGAACCCTGCGTCTTCCATATCGTGCCTGCTGGTGAGGTCTCTCTCTCTCTCACACATTGATCAGTGCCATCATTGTCATGGTAGAGGGCTGAGGATGGGAAATGGTTTTAAATAGTTAATATAGTTTAAGTAATTAACAAGAATACATTTACCAATTACTGTTCATTATCACACTATTGACACAACCTTTGTTACCTAATTAAAAAAAATATGTTGAGGTAATTAAGTCATTCTTGATACACCTGTAATGTTCCATAATATATTACACCTCTCAACAGCAATAATATATCGTGACCTGACCTACTATAATGACCTTGACCTTAAACCCTTCCATTAGGTGACTTTAACTAATTGCCATGGCCCTTCTCCCAGGTAACAGTGACATTATTATAGTTAATTATTTGTCCTCCAGGTAAGCCGGAGCCTCCAGGTGAGTGTAGGGTGGAGGAGGGCACGAGGACCTCAGTATGGGTGAGGTGTGGGGCGGGAGGTAGTGGAGGTCTCCCACAACACTTCCTCCTCCAGGCCAGCAGCCTCCACCAACCTCACCACCAACACCTCCTCAACTTCACCTCCGCCTCCTCCCCAAACTTCTACGTGAGTTACTGTCTCGTTCTTCTCTCTCATTAAGGTATTAGTTACCTGTAATCAGTACTACCTGCATTACTTAAGATTCTCTTGGTCCTTTCTCATGTTTTTGTCCCATACATACATACATACATACATACATACATACATACATACATACATACATACATACATACATACATTTATTTGTCAGTTTTGATTTTGTCTTCTTGTGTATTGTACTGAGGTGACCTGCCTTTATCTGACCTGCTTGATCTCCTGGTATTATTATTATTATTATTATTATTATTATTATTATTATTATTATTATTATTATTATTATTATTATTATTATTATTATTATTATTATTATTATTATTACTATTATTATTATTATTATTATTATTATTATTATTATTATTATTATTATTATTATTATTATTATTATTATTATTATTATTATTATTATTATTATTATTACTATTATTATTATTATATACAAAACTATACTCAACAAAGGTAACATTATAATGAAGAAAAAAATCGAATCCCATGAAATTATTCCCCAAATTCAGTATTTATACGAAAAAAAATCAACTTAATTACTCACCCAGAATGTAATCACAAACTCGTCAAGAATACGGGACAAATGTAACCCAGAAGACGGTTAATATTAGCAGTAGCGTTGTGAGGGTAACCTGTTAACGAGGTGACTTAAATTATGTGCCACTGAATACTAATTTTGACAATTTAGTATGTATACATGTTACTTTAGATGTGTGGTATGTTTTCGAGTACTGTTTTCAATGTTGGGATATACATATGTGTATTGAGTCACTTGCAGTTGGTGAAGAAAGTATCTGAGTGTTAGGAAAGTGTCACTTTATACTTGGTGGATAGATTCCAGGAAATGTCAGGACAGTGGCACTGATAGTCGGAGGGGAAGTAGTCTGTATTATCAGGGTAGTGTTTTACATACATGGGAAAGTATCATGGGTAAGTGCCAATAAGTGTTAGGACAGTGCCTCCCGATGGATTAAGGAGAATTATTAGGGGAAGTACTAAGAAGTATGGGTAGTTTCCCTTATAAGCGGAAGGGGATATATTAGTGAAAAGTGCCAGGAAGTACCAGGACAGTGTCTCCCACAGGTAGAAGGGCTGGAGGCGAGGGGGAAGTACCAGCTGGTGATCAGGGCAGTGAACGATAAGGGCTCCAGCAGTGCCGCTCATCTCATTGTCAGCAGCATCGACACCAAGAACTATGTGTACCAGCTGCATGGTGAGTGTATGTGTGTGTGTGTGTGTGTGTGTGTGTGTGTGTGTGTGCGTGTGCGTGTGCGCACGCGAGAGAGAGTGAGTGAGTTACAATCAGTTACTCCAACTGTTTTCAGTATATTTCATTAAATAACTCACTTTTACGAGAAAAAAGGCAATAAACACAGGCAATACCCTACCCTACCCTACCCTACCCTACCCTACCCTACCCTACCCTACCCTACCCTACCCTACCCTCAACTAAAAAAGTGTCTTGAGAGTATATGACCAACTCTTATTTTAGTAAGGGACTATTAACCCTCTGTGTGTATTATAGAAGAATAAGGTGTTGTTTGCTCTTTCTCTCTCAGACGGGCCCCTGGAGGCTGAGGTCCGGGATGGTGGCAAGAACGGTGTGGTGGGTGGTGAGAGTGAGGTTCCTGAAGAGTCCTTCCTTGACACTCTGGCTCTCCCATCCTTCATCATGGGAGTCCTGGGCGTAGGATCAGGCCTGGTGCTGCTCGTAATTTTACTCCTGTTGATCATCACCTTCCGCGGCAGGAGGAGGGCGCCCCAGCTACACCCTCTGGCACACAACCTTCACCTGACGGACACCGAGGAGAGTCTTCCTAGAGCAGCTTCATCGACGAGGATATCACCTGTGTTTACACCTGACCAACATACTACCTGTCTGGAAACTGACGTGATAGTGAGTGTGTAGCAGGAGAAGGGAGTGAAGGAGGAAGGGAGGAAGGAAGGAATGGAAGTATAGGAGGGATTGAGGGAGGAAAATAAAGACTGGAAGGAAAGAACGGAAGGATGGGGAGAGAGGGCGAGAGGAAAAGAGAGGAAGTAAATACGTAGTAAAAACTAGGAGAGAATTATTTAGCATCCATCATTGTGGCATTATACTTACATTAACTTGTGTAGAAGAGGTGAAAGAACATTACCACTTACTCCCACATTTCAATCTCCCTCTCCTAGTAGCATCAGGAGGAGTGTGAGAGCGATGCTGACCCTGACGTCATCCCTCTCCAGAAGTCGTGTCGAGGGTGCGAGAGAGGAGTGAGCCAGCTAGCCACCGTCCTGCCCTCACACCACTACAAGTACCCCTCCCACCACCACCACCACCACCCATTTCACCCCGACACCGTCAGTATCTGAGTCAGTCTGTCTTGTAACTCTAGATGTGTCAGCAGAGATTCATCAAGTCCTCAATATTCTACTTTAACCAAAACCCCAAGTAGCGTTAGGATAGTTTAATCATCAAGTGAAATAATCTTAGGTGTCTAATAATCAAGTAATTAAGAAAAATAAACAAGATATTGACTGAAGTATGAGAAAAAATCCCCAATGGACAGAATTTTCTTTCGGTAAACGCTTGAATGTTTTAAAGACGATGTTATTATTTTTATTTTGTTTTCCTCTGTTGTTTATGCCAGGCCTGTGCATCCGTCTGTCATCCTGAGCATCCCCAAGTGTGAGACAAACAGCGGAGGGTCGTAGTTCACCCCTGTAGCACTCCAGTCAGGCCTCCCTAGTATGGACGAGTTGAGGTAAGAATCTTAATATGGGCGAGTTGAGGTAAGAATCTTAATATGGGCGAGTTGAGGTAAGAATCTTAATAAGGGCGAGTTGAGGTAAGAATCTTAGTAAGGGCGAGTTGAGGTAAGAATCTTAATAAGGGCGAGTTGAGGTAAGAATCTTAGTAAGGGCGAGTTTAGAATATAAGGGCGAGTTGTGCTAAGAATCTTCCAATATGGGCGAGTTGAAAGGAGAATCTCTTAATATGGGCGAGTTGTACAAGAATCTTCCTTATGGGCGAGCGAAGCTAAGAATCTTCCCTTGGCGATGGGACGAGTTATGCTAAGAATCTTCCTTAATATAAGAGTTAAAGGAGAATCTTCCTTGGTCATACGAGTTGTGCTAAGAATATTCCTTAATATGGGCGAGTTGAGGTAAGAATCTTCCTTAATATGGACGAGTTGTGCTAAGAATCTTCCATAATATGGACGAGTTGTGCTAAGAATATTCCTTAATATGGGCGAGTTGTGCTAAGAATCTTCCTTAATATGGGCGAGTTGAGGTAAGAATCTTCCTTAATATGGACGAGTTGTGCTAAGAATCTTCCTTAATATGGACGAGTTGTGCTAAGAATATTCCTTAATATGGGCGAGTTGTGCTAAGAATCTTCCTTAATATGGACGAGTTGTGCTAAGAATCTTCCTTAATATGGACGAGTTGTGCTAAGAATCTTCCTTAATATGGGCGAGTTGAGGTAAGAATCTTCCTTAATATGGACGAGTTGTGCTAAGAATCTTCCTTAATATGGACGAGTTGTGCTAAGAATCTTCCTTAATATGGACGAGTTGAGGAGGAAAGGACAGCTTACAGGTAACAAATAACACAGAACCAGATGTAACACCACAGGACATGTGAAAAAAAATCACAGATACACACTAAGATACACACTAATACATATACTGTCTCTATGCCTTTTAATTTTACTTTAAGTTTCGCGTATCACTTTTGTATTATTGTATTGTTGTTTTTTTAGTTATGGATGTATAGAATTTTTGCCAACTGTGTGAAATAAAACCATGGCGACGCTGTTTGGTTTAAGTGTTTCTAGCAATGTGAATACTTAGTGCACAGGAGTATTTCGTTTCTAGATTGTGTTGCGGTATAAAAAGTGTATAAAGATGTAGGAAATCAGATAATGATGATTTTGAGTCAGTCAGAAAGGAATGGACACACCTTAATTAACAGTTTAATTGACAGTTTCAAGTTTTCATTGAAAGTCTCGTTAATTATCAAGTTTAGGCAGGTGAAGAGAGAGAGAGAGAGACTAACACTGAGAGCAAATCTAATTAGCTAAGTTTCATCAGGTGGGAGGTATGCATATACTAAGAAGCAGGTTAATTATCGTGTTTACTCATATAGGACACACCTTGATGCTGGAGCAGGTGAGTTATGAAGGTAAACAAGGCAGGTACACACGACTTTATCCCAACACAGCAACACCTCGGTACACCTCCAGGTCTACCTCCCCTTGCTGCTTATAACATGTGCTCTGTTCCGCAGGTGAACCTGGACAAAGGTCATTTTATTTATTATATTATTATTATTATTATTATTATTATTATTATTATTATTATTATTATTATTATTATTATTATTATTATTATTATTATTATTATTATTATTATTATTATTATTATTATTATTATTATTATTATTATTATTATTTCAACTTCTAACTACGACTACCACTAACTACGACTACCACTAACTACGACTACTACTAACTACGACCACTCCTCTCCTTTCAGTATAAGAGAGGTCAGTCAGCAGAAGCACAGCGATTGGTAGAGCCAACAGCACCAACCTCGAAGACCCACAACGCTGGTGAGCCTGGAGTTGATGACCGTTGCCACCAACCACCAAGAAACTGTGTGAGTGAATGAACTCTGGGTTCCTCATATGGCACCCTGGACTGACACAGGTGGCATTATGGAGAAACACAAGGCTGAAAGTCTAAGGTAACACTGAGGTGAACATTGCTGAAGTCGTGTGGGTGTAATGACTGATATAACCACAGAGTCACAACCACTGCCACTCACAGAAGAGATGTAATATTCACCCCCTCTCCCCCCCCAAAAAAAAGTCGAAAAGCTTAAAGTAAATCGAATAAATATTAATATCTTTCATGAGTATTTGTATTGTTGCTTTATTTATTATTCCTAAGATGATGGGAGACTCGTTAAACAAGATCGCAAGCCTCTCTGAAACACCCGCCGAAGTACAGAGATAATCGTAGGTGAGGTAGAGATGCCGAAGCTGTAGAAAGAGTCCAAGAATTTTTTGGGTAGTGTTTTATCGTCCACCTGGGAGAGAGAGGCGGGGGCGATAAAAGAGATTATCAACAAGAACTCCCACACGTCGCAGTATTTCGGTATTAACTCTGAAACGGTAGGATAATTTGAGGTTTTATGTAAATCTTGACACTGTTATATAACTTCAGGATAAACCCAGACATTTTATAAGTGGCGGAGGAATTCTTTATCACAAGGACGTAGACAAATGACTACCCAGATGATGTTGAAAATCCTAATTTATTTATACCAGACAAATACTCCTTTAGTGACACTATTTAACTACTTTTGCTCTAATTAGAACATTATTTTCCTCTAAATTATCACTGGGATCAAAAAGTTACAAGATTATGTCACAGCTTTTTCTCCCCGCCTTGGTGTAGTGGCTGGTGTGCTGTTCCATTGACTCCCATGCAGGTGCTGTTAGGTCAAAAGATGGGGCAGAAAGACTAACGCTGTGAGTCTGTGGAGGGAGGGGAGACGGGCGTTATATGATACTTATATACCTTACATATTTACATACATATATAAATTACACATATATCTTATGCATGGTCTCTCGTCTGTGATTATTATAGTGAATAAATTGAAGCTTAGAGGTGACTTTTAATTCTTTAAGCTTCTATTTCTTAATAAAGCTTAACATTAAAGCTTATAATAACTGAGAAGATTATTGCATGAGTATCATTATTTAAAGACTTTTAATTTGTTATTATGGCGTGATGAATAATGAGCTACTGTATATATATATATATATATATATATATATATATATATATATATATATATATATATATATATATATATATATATATATATATATATATATATATATATATATATATATATATATATCATGTAATTACCAATTTGATTTATAACACAGTCTCATATAAATAACTTAATAGACTGAAAACTTTTAATGTTTATACCACATATTTATATTTTTATATACAGTAATTGTCAATATATATGTATATAAACTCATGAGAGAGAATATATATGTTTAGTATATATAGATTTATATGTTATTAATAAATATGAAAATTAATAATACAGTACATTATTTTATTATTAAGCCTCATCCACACACTCCTCCACACCACCCTACCCTCCCCACACTCCTCCACACCACCCTACCCTCCACACACTACCTCCACACACTCCACCACCCCTACCCACCCTCCACCCTACCATCCACACCCCTCCACCCTCCCCACACTGACCACTCCCCACCCCACACCCCCTACCCCTCCACACTACTCCCACACCACCCCTACCACTCCCCACACTACTCCACACCCTACCCTCCCCCACACCCCACCACCCACCCTCCCACCCCTCCACACACTACTCCACACCTACCATCCACACACCTCCACACCACCTACCACCCCACCCCTACCCTCCACACTACTCCACACCACCCCACCCACATCCCCACACCACCCCACACCACCCACCCTCCACACTCCACTCCACCCACCCCACCCTCCACCCCACCCCTACTCCACACACCTCACACCCCCCCACTCCACTCTCCCCCACCCTACCTCCCCCACCACCTACCCCACACTACCCACCACCCCTGCCTCCACACTCCCTCCCCTTCCACACTACCTCCCTCTGTCCATCCTACCCCTGTTCTCCACACCCACCTTCTCTTCTCGCCCCTGTTCTTCCATTCCCTTCTCCTTCCACCTCGCTCCTGACCCTTCAACTCCCCCAGGGGCCCTTCCATGGGCAGTGGCGCCCCCACGGCCCTTCTAGAAGCGGTGACGACCAAAGGGGCCCTCCCAGGGACGGCAGTGCCCCCAGGAACCCTGAAAAAAGGCGGTAACACTCC